AGTGCCTCTTACCCTGCCCTTGGTTAAGGCCTTCCTCCCCCTGACCTCCTACAGCCACACCCACCTCTGAGTCCATGTCCTCCCCATAGCATACCCCAACCCCCCACCCCAAGCCCAGGCCAGTGGAGAACTCTGTCCCCAGTGAGCCTGAGGCCATTATAGTCTCCTCTTCCCCCTGCTTGGTGCTCCCCAGGCCCTCCAGTCTCTGTGTGAGAAATAAGGAAATCGGGGGCTCTTCCCCACCTGCATCCCCTTCCCTGTGCACCCTCCTCCTGCTGCTCAAATGGGGTGCAGGCTGTTACCTCCTCCAAGGCCAGGACGCCCCTGAGCTTCCCCATGCTGGTCACGTAGGCCAGGTGCAGGCCAAGCAGCGAGAACAGTGTGTGCGTCTGGGTGGGAAGGCAAGGTCAGTGCACAGGCCGCACGCCCTACCCGCAGCCCCAGCAGCCGCAGCCGCAGGACTCGCCTTGTGCAAGGTCGTCTGCTCCACCAGCTGGAAGGGCGACTGGTCAATACAGCAGTAGTCGAAGCAGACAGGCTGGCGCAGCTGCTCCTGCTCCCAGGCCTCGATCTGTGTGGGCAGGTGGGAGTCACCATATCATGGCCCTCAACCTCAGACACCCGTTCTGGCCCTGAATCCTAAAACAGGTCCTCCTCATTAGGTCTCAGATTCACTCCCAGCCCCAGCACCGTACCGCTCCCTCTTCTTGTCCTGCAGAGCTCCCACTCTATGCATTTGTTTCCCAACTGTCTTTGCTCAGCGAATCTCATTAAGACCTGCCGCTCCAACCAGCCAGCCCTGTTCTTCTGACTGGCCTTCCCAGTTGCGTTTCTCTTCTCTTGTCCCCTGGATTTTCCTCCTCTGCCCCCACTCAGTCTGTGTGTCCTGACTCTCCCAGTCAGACCCACTTTCCCCGGTTTGAATTCCCATAGTGCTTCGCTGGTCTTCCCTGTTTAGAAATGGCTTTGGTCACACTCAGCCTTGCACTGCCATCTGTGTGACCCCTGTCTCCCAGATGTGAAACCGAGGGTGTCGTGTGACAGTAGTTGCTGTACACTGTGGCGAGACTAGCACACGCGCCTCTTACCAAGTAGATCACAGCAAGTATTTGCCGGACTTGAAGAGCCGAGCTCAATCACACGGCACTTAGTTGACTCGAGCAGAGACAGCTTTTCCATTTGGTTTTGTTTGTTTTGCTCTCCAACAGAGGCGTTCGTGGACAAAGGCCGACACCGCTCTTGATTTTGAATGTGCACACCGAAACCCCCAAGATTCCACGTAATCCACTTTATCTCTGGCTTTCCTACATGAATCTAAAACTGCTTTCCAGTCGACGTCCCCGGAATGATGAAGTACGTTATCTTCCTATCTGTCCACACTGCTCTAGGATCACAGACTGTCACCTAGTTCTGGTGTCCACGGTGATGCCTACTCCATCTGTCCTGACACTTCTAGCATACACTCACAGTCCAGGATTCGTCCTCTGCACTCCCGCCTTTCTGAAGGAGGCTCACACAGGGTGGGCGCCACATCGCAGGGGCGCTGGAGAGAGGATCTAGGTTTCAGGTGGGGGCTGGACCTTGCTAACCCTGGACGGGCTAATGCTATCCTCCTGGTCCTTCCTCTGGCCACATGTGGGTGCCTTGGTTTCCATGTTGGCCGTTCTCAGCAATGTAGCCAGTGCACATTTACCCAGCACTTTCTCTGTGCCAAGCATTATTGTAACTGCTTCATATTAGTCACTCCAGAACCCTGTTATCTTCCTGTCATGGTTGAGGAAAGAGGCACGGGTTGCTTAAGCAGTTTGCCCAAGATCACTCGGTCAGTGACTAGTGAACCTGGGCTTCCAGCCTGGCGTGCTGCTGCTATTCCAGGTATACCCCCACTTTTGTCCAGAAGGGTGGAGAGGTGCTGTTGGGTCTGGTGAGTTGCACTACTCGAAACAGCTCCCCAGTTCGAAACCAAAGCTCAGTGAGATCTCGGAACACGGTATACACAATCGGACAAATCACACATTGTGGGGGCTTCGGCCACCTGAATGGTAACTTAATTCTTCCAGTGTTCCCATATCTGCCCCCATCCTGTTTTCATCAATACCAACATCTCACTATTGCCGGTGATCTCATTTGACCCAGTCGAAAACCATGCTCAAAAACGTCCAGCATTTTGGGGACCAGCAGAGGGCATAGTGGTTAAGGTGTTGAACTCCCACATAGCCAGCTGTGGCTTGAGTTCCAGACCCAGTAGCTTGAAACTCATGCCAGGCACATATGCATGCTTGCCCAAAATCTCAGGAAGAGAATGGAGGAGAAAGGATTGTGGTGTGGCCATAACCCCTAGAGAAGGGTGATTTCTCACATTTTGTCTCTCTGGTAAGCGCATGTGCCTTATAGCAACAACAACAAAAAAAAGTACACACACACACACTCGCACACATGTATTCTGCTCACTCCTCATCAGCACTTCCCTTTTTTTCTTTCTCGTGGACTTAACCCCCTCTTTTAGGAAACAGGCACCATGATGACATTGAGCCACTGCAGTCATTACTTGCCTTCCATCCACAGGTCTTCTTGGTCTGACTGCCTGGCATTTTCCAATTGCTGCTGTCTCAGGGCTCTGACGCAGGCAGCACAGCCACCTCCTTATCTTAATTCAATGCTATTTTCCCACTTTTTAGGGTCTAGGGCTGGCTGCTTGTGTCATTTTAATTTAGGCAAAGCCGACCTTTCCTGAGTAGCCTCAGCCTTGTCCAGAACCTCCCTGAATCCTAAAGGATCCAATGCTCTTTTTTAGCACCATGATCCCATTTACACGGAGATTCAAAACTTTCCTCTTCTGGGCCAGGAAGTGGCATGATGGCTGAAGCAGCTAGATTCCACATGGCTGACTGTGCAGTTCAAGTTCCTATGGGGCAGCTTGAAAAACTTGCCAGGAGGTTAAGGTGCTAGACTCCCACATGGTTGACTGTAGTTCAAGTCCTGGACCCAGTAGCTTGAAAATCACGCCAGGCACGTGTGCACACATGCCCAAAATCCCAGGAGGAGAAGGGATTGAGTGAGGCATGGCAATTCCCCCGGAGGTGATTGATCATTTTTCCTCTCTCTCTGTCTCTCTCTAGCACACCCTATAGCAAAACTAAAAAGCAAAACAAGAACACTTTCCTCTTCTGAAACTACTCCACCCCTCTGAGGACAGCGCTACCATAACCCATGAGACTTTTACTGCCACCTCCACAATTATGCCTTGTTTCCAGCCTCTCGAAATATTTTCCCATCTAGACTAGCATGTAACTCTTACAACAACACATTCAAGGTTGGGAAAAAATAAACAATAGCTTCATTTGCCAGAACAATCTACCCCAGGTTGCCACTTCCCTTACTTACTTCTTCAGGTAACATGTTATCCACCAAATCTGTTGAATCCTAGAGAAGAAAAACATAGGTCTACATCCTGTCCCCGTTCTTCCCATAGTAGCCATGATTAGAATGACATAACTGCCATCTCTCCCCAGCCAGGGCCACTGGTGCCTCCCTCCAAGTCACTGTCCCATATGATCAAGTGGCCCCTTTTGGTGGAATCTCTGCCCTCCTAATTTAAGAACCATGGGTATCTCACTTCTGAAAGAGTTTTCCTCTACCCCTCGCCCCAAACCCATCTCCTCTCACCTGAATTGTTTTCTTCTTTGTGGGACGAGTTCTGCCAGGCAAGCAGCGCAGTAGGGACTGGAAGATGGAGGGTCTTTGGCCTGAGAGGGGTGGGGAGGAAACAAAAATGGAAGCAAAGACATGTCCATACTGAAAGAAATGGTTAGGGGTCCTGGGTGGTTCCTGACACTCTGCCATCAAAGGACGCAGTCCTCTGGTGCCTCGTCTCCAAAGGCATCCTCTTGTACTCTCCTAAGTCAACCTCTGCCCCCACTCCTTGGATCAGTGACACAGAAAATCGATGACTAAGACCCCTCCACCATCCCCTAGTCTTGTAGCTCTTCCCAGGTGTAACCCATGGGTTGAGATGAGCCCAGAGACAACCCACAGGCGTGTGTTACTGTGCTTGCCAGAAGATCTTCACCTGCAGGCTCTGGGGCTTCCAGCTGTTCTTTGTGGTTGGGCAGGGGCCCATTGGGCTCTTCGGGAGTCAATGGAGCAGTAGGAAAGGGGTGAGGAGGAAGAAGAGGAGGCAGCTGTAAGAAATGGTCGACATTCTCAGTTTTTAAAATAAAAAAGTATTTAATTTTATTTATTTATAATTTGACCAGAATAAGAGAGAGAGAGAGAGAGAAAGAGAGAAAGTAAGAAAGCCGCCAGGTCTGGGACTCAAACCATGGTCGGCCATGTGGGAGTCTGACCCCTTAGCCACTACACCACCTGCCAGCCCCCAACATTCTCAGTTTTTAAGAGGCTGCCTGGAGCTTCACTGTCTTTATCAGTTGGTGTCCTGGGAAAGCTAACTCAATCCCCCCTTCTCTAATCCCTCAGGTCAAATTCTTAAACCCCCCTGAATTATGATCTCTCTCCTCTGTCTCTCTCTCTCTCTGTCTGATATCTATCTTTATCTATCTATCTATATCTATCTATCTATCTATCTATCTTCTAATCTATCTATATCTATACATCTGAGTCATATCACAGTACCCAGGGCCACTCAGTCCAGAATTCTGGCTTCCTTAATTGCCAGCATCCCCCTCCCTCCTCCTACTTGCCCTGCACCTGTCTCCACCAAAGCACATCCCTCTGACTTCTTTCCCTTTGCGCCTCATCTATCCCACTCTCTGGCCCTTCCCAGCAGTCACCTCGGTCTTGCCAGACACATCCTCATCTTCATCCTCATCCACAAACAGAAAGGACTCTGGCCGGCCCCGAGGAGTGCCGCCAGGCAGCCCGTCCCCAGCCGGCCGCACCTTCCCGTCGTAGGGCAGCTCTGACAGCTTCCGAGCCATGTCCTGGGCTGCCCGCAGCCTGCGCTCAGGACACAGGTGGCGCTGCAGGAGGGACTGCAGTTCGGAGCGCTCCACGGAGCCCAGCAGGATCATTGAATCTGGGGGACAGTCACGCTCAACTGAGGGTCCCATCCACACCTTCCCTTTCCACCACGCTCTGCACAGTGCGGTCAGGAACAGAAGCAGCCAGAGCACTCTTGTCTTTTACAGCTTTTGCCCTCTCTTCCTAAAAACTCATTCCAAAAATTCTCTGGGACTGGGCCAGCAGGTGGCCGAAGGTTAAGGTGGCTGGGTCCCACATGGCCATCTATACCATTGGAGTCCTGGACCCACAGCTTGAAAATCACAGTGGGCACGTTTGTGGGCATGCTCAAAGTCCCCAGAGGAGAATAGAGGAGACGGGATTGTAATGCAGCCATTTGAGGATGAGGGGGGAGTGAGGGGGTGGTAATTTCTCAATTTTCCTCTTACTTTCTCTGTCTCTCTAAGGTGAGTGCATGACCCCATAGCAGAAACAAACAAAAAAAAAAAAAGGAAAGAAAAAAATCCCCAGGAGTGGCCTCACTCAATTCCTTTCCTTCACCCATTCAGAATGTCCAAACCCAACAGCCAGTACACTAATAGGCCCTAATTTGCCCTTATTTTGATGTAGTCTTAATATAGACTGTTTTCAAATAGGTGAGCTCTCTATTAAAGTAGGCTATGCAATCCTGTCCAACTGAAAAGAAACCTGAAAAGCCATTCTACGACAATGTGATGCGAACCACTCTGACAGAAATCTACAAGCAATCCAAACATTACATCTTCTGGCCTGGAAAAAAAGAGGCAAAAACACTTTTTGTATCTGATGTTTTGTCACAAAAACCTGGTTCCTTCTAGGATATAAACAAAATGTTTACTTTTCCTGAGGATGTCTTTTATATGTTTATAGAAGTTCTGTTACTATAATGAATATTTTCATTAAGTTTTAAGGTCATGAAATTGTAGGAGTATTACTGAGGCAAAGTTTTCAGTTGAGCCTGCAGTTAAGTCATGTTTGTTTTTGTTTTTGTTTTGCCAGAGGGGGTGTGCACTTACCAGAGAGAGAGGGACAAAGAGGAGGAGATGAAGAAAGCATCTCCCAGGGGGGCTTGGTCATATTGCAATCCCTTCTCTTCCATTTCTTTATCCTGTTGGGATTTGGGGCACACACACACACACACACACACATACACACACACACACACACGTGTGTGTGCCTGGCATGTTTTTCAAGCTGCTGGGTCCAAGACTTGAACTGTGTGGTCGGCCATGTGGCATCTGACTCCTTTAATCACCAGGCCACAGGCCTTAGTCATTATTATAAAAAGTCTGCACTTTATTGGCTCTACCTCTATCACATTAGAGGGCATTCAGAAGGTATCTGAGATTGGAAAACTGTTTGAGCTAATCTAACTTGAGAAATAGGGATACTCTATCCAAAATCAGAACTGCCGATCATAAGGCAGATATTCATTTTATATCTGGTAAAGGCCTATAACAAGGCACTGTGGGGGCATATAAGTTACAGTGTCTACCTCAAGGGATACCCAAACCAGTAAGGAAAATGACAGAGATAAAAACTGCAATGTGAAGTAATAGAGGAAGACAGAGTGCCAAAGCGGGGTAGAAATGATGATGGAGGAACTGTGAAATCACCCTTAGTGAAAGCTGTTCGCTCCTGCATGTGGGACAGTTTCTTCTCTTCCTTAAATTGGCATTAAAGAGCAGGAAGGATTTAGTTAAGGAAGCAGCAAAGGGAACCACCTAAGGGGCTGTGAGATCTCCAGGTAACTGGCATTATTTGTAGATTCCCTATTTGAGAATTCGCCTACTCACTACAATCTATTTGTAACCCCAAATCAGTAGCAGAGGTACTTTTGCTGAAATCCTCAGATGTGCTCTGACCGACAGGAAGTTCAAATTACTTGATGCCATGCTCGCAGCCGCACTCTGCCTTCCCATGCCTGCTTCCCTGAAAACAAGTGTTCTTTCCTCTGCCCATTTAATGTCACATGCTTTACCCAGTTTTGTGACTTCTGTTGGTGATTTTGCTTTTTCAAATGGACCCCCAGCAGGCCAGCTGGTGGTAGGGTGGTTAAAGCGACCGAATCCCACATGGCTGTCCGCATGGTGCGAGTCCCAGATCTAGCAACTTGGAAAACACTCTGGGCCCATGTGCATGTGATCCCGAGAGGAGAATAGAGAGAAGGGATTGCAGTGTGGCCAACCCCTTTAGGGGGTGATTTCTTACTTTCTCTCCCTATGTCTATGTTTCTCTCTGAGAAGTGCATATGCAATCAACATTTTTAAAATAAAATGATAAATGAATGAATGAATTCATTAAATGGCCCCCAGGCATAATGCTGAAAGGCTGCAGGGTGAGGGGTGAGTGGGGTGTTCCTAAGCGCAGTCTGGGCTATGGCGGACTCAGAAAACGCATGCGTGTGTAAGGGATGCTTTATTCAGGCGTGAGTTAGAGCACGGTGGCTGTGTGTTCAATGTTAATGAATCAGAAATAGCTATTAGACGAGGTGACTTGAAACAGAAACATGCACAAAACGAGGTTATGCACTGACTGGTCGATGGGAGACGCTTGGGAACATAGCCCTGTACGACAGCTTCAAAAAGTTTATGGAAAATATGTATCATGAAAAAAACATACATGAATTTCAAACAATATTAGAAATTTGGGAGAGTTTTGTGAGAATAGGGGTGTATAGAAAAGATTTTATGATGTAAATATTACAATGGTTTAAAATGCTGAAATGTTCATCTTTTCTATAGGTAAGGGCATTAGAAAAAATATATAAAGGGTACAGATTAAACTATTGATCAATGTGCCTTAATCTTGCTAACTTAAAAATTCAAAGTATCGTTTTTACTGAATGTGCATGACTTTTCTGCTGTAGTAGTAAAGTTGAGACATCATTGAGTGGTTGTTAAATCAGGGACCATCTGCACTAGGAATAATGAGAAACAACTGTATTCCTTCAACTTTCTTCTTGTGCATATGTTATGACTGTCTTTTTCCTTCCTCAAGGATGATCATGTTCCCTGCGAGCACAGAATGGGTCTCCCAAAGCAGACTGGGTGGTCGGTCCGTCAGGACAAGCCCACAACACAGTGGCTACTCTACCTCAAGGAAGTGCTTGTCTAGGTCACTGGTTCAGTAACGTTTCTTCCTTCCACTGACCTCTTTTTTCTTTTAAAGAACTACTTTATTGAACTTTATTTATTTATTTATTTTAATTTGACTAGAGAGGGACAGAGTGACAAAGAGAAGGAAAATGAGAAAGCAAGCCACCAGGTTTAGGGCTCGAACTGTGGTCAGCCATGTGGGAGTCCAGCACCCTTAATCACCACCAGGCCACCTGCTGGCCCCTCCACTGACCTTTTGAATCAACCAGTGGTAAAGTCTTGACTGTGGTGGTCTGGAGCAGGGTTCGCAGCTCCCCGTATGTGCAAGAAGCTGAAACAAACTTCACATCACGGACCATGATGTCCTCAACAAAGATTGTATATTTGCTATGGAGGGAGAAAGCATGGTGGGTTAGCCCCACCACAGTCTATACGGCGGCTAACCCTCCTAATCCTCCCCTGAGGTTTGCCATGCATCCGGCCATTCCAAATGTTTACTAAGAATAGGGAGACATAAAAACAATTAGGAACAGTGTTTCCAAACATTGACCCTAACCTTATCCGCAGAACCTCCCATCCCTATGACATCTGAACTAATTCCAGCGAGCGCCCTGACCTGAGCTGGTTCCAACCAAGGTCGGGCAAGTAGGGTAGCTTCTTGACCTGGATGATGCTGTCATAGAGGGAGGGCTGCAGACTCTGAGCCACCATGTTGGCCAAGATCACAGCCACCATCATGGGCAGGATATGAGCAATCTGACCCGTCAGTTCGAAGCAGATCACAGCTGTGGAGACTGTGTGGGACACGGCGCCAGTCAGTGCTGCTGCTCCTGGAATGACAGAGGATTCACCAGGGGTTAGGGCTGCTGTCTTTGGCATGGAAAACACAGGGGCATGTGCTGGGAGTGACTCAGAATGAGGAGACATGACCTTGGTTGATGCCGTCACCCCTGAGATGACGATTTGTCAAGAATCAGGGCTAGGAGGCTAAACTGTTAGAACATCGCTTTGATCTCTCCCCATACCCTTCAGCAAGTCACAAGATCTTTTTGTATGTGGGCCCAAATCTTCACTTATAGCATGACGATCCTGCTGTCCTATCCATTCCCTGCTTTTGAAAGTTCATGTCATTCTTAACTGAGCATTTTATTTATTTATTTTTTATAGAGAGATTTTTGCTATGGTGCATATGCTCACCAGAGAAACAGAGAGACAGAAAGTGAGAAACCACCTCTCCCAGGGGAGACGGTTGTGCCGCAATCCCTTCCCCCCCATTCTCCTCTTAAGATTTTGGGCACACATGAGCATGTATCTGGCATGAGTTTCAAGCCACCAGGTCCGGAATTCGAACCACAGATGGCCATGTGGGAGTCCAGCAATGTAACCATTACACCACCTGCTGGCCCCAGAACTTTCACATATTTGTAGCTTAACTGAGCATTTTAAAACCCATTATTGACATTTTACCTTGAACCTCAAGTGTTGGTTCTAACAATTATTGAGTGAATACAGTAACTAGCTAAGAATCACAGACCTGGGGCAGTCAGACCCACGTGAAACCCTGCTTCCACTTTTTCTCAATTGTATGAATAGAGGTGGAATTCCGTGGTCCCATCTCTAAAATGGCAGGAGTCACTCAAAGCTTTCTAATGTGCTTGTAGGTCTAAAAACTTTATGATTCTGGGACCAGCAGTTGGCGTAATGGCTATGTCACTGGACTCCCATGTAGTCGACCGCAGTTCGAGTCCCGGACCCAGTGGCTTAAACTCACGCTGGGCGCGTATGTGTGCGTACCCAAGCTCCCGAGAGGAGAATGGAGGAGAAGGGATTGTGGCGTGGCCATTCCCCCCTGGGGGGTGATTTCTTGCTTTTTGTCTCTTTGTCTCTCTCTCTGTCTGTCTGGCAAGTAGACGTGCCCTACGGCAAGAAAAAAAAAAACCTCTCCAAAAAAAAAAAAAACTTTATGATTCTATATATTCTCTAAAGATAGAATGAATGTAATGTATTGCTTATTTTTGGTTATTTTTTCCCATCAACCCAAATAGTCCCTTGTGCATTAACTATATTTCATACTGAAATATGTAGAGATGCCCTATGGGGAAATGTTGGGGAAGGCACACATAAACATTTAACAAGAAAATGTCACAAAAGAAAAATTATAAGAAGAATGACATCTACAATGTCCTTCAGATCATAAACTATGTGCACACTGGGAATATATACCAGGAGGGGCCGGGAGGGACCCGAGAGACATGAAGACAGGGACTCTTACTGACAAAAGGGGCTTTTGTAAAGGGACTACGAGGGGAAGTGGGACACCACATGAGCTACCTAACTGCTAGTGCTTCTTCATCAAGGGACCTCATGTCCTTTGATGTTGGAGTAAAGAGGAAAAGGAGACGGACCATAATAATCCTGGGGGTTATGTGGGTCACTGTTTATACCTGACCCTATCTATCTCAAAAGTCATTTTAGAGTAAGAACTTAAGGCTAAGAGAGGCAGCTAAGTGGCTCTGTGGTCGCCCAGGTAACAAGCGACATGGATAAGTCCAGAGTCTGTCTTCTCTCTCTCTCATTACTTCTTTGTTATTTTCATAACAATCCTTCACTACACTCAGTTTATAGACAAGGAAATTGAAGGTCATAGATCTCAAATGATCTCAAGGCTACACAATTTACAGGTGGTTGAGTTGAATTTGTTCCCAGGCCTTTTGGAGACACATGCTTTGCCCTTTCAACCATGTCACATTGTTTCTCTAATGACTTTATCTTCTTCTCATCCTCTGTCCTTTTCTGTTCTTGGTTTGAGAGGATATTTCCTTCAGCTCCTACTGTCCAAAAGCAGAGACTAGATGTTGCCCTCCTCTAGAGAACCCAGGCCCTAATAAATCAAAACTGTAGTCACTACCTTCAGACATAGATGATATTATCTCACTATTGGGTCTGAGGTCTTCTGCACCTTCTTATGGACAAATCAGAGAATGAGGGGGACACAGGAAGCAGGTAGTTAGAAATGTCCTCCTCATTCTCTGATTTCTCACTGTCTCTCTGTCTTTCTGACGAGTGCATAGCAAAAACCTCTCAAAAAAAAAAGAAAGAAAGAAAGAAAGAAAGAAAGAAAGAAAGAAAGAAAGAAAGAAAAGAAAGAAAGAAAGACCATATCGTGTCTCTTGGAATAAAACCTTAACAGGGCAGAGATGTGGGGTACTCAGTGTTGGTTTGCAGGGGTGAGATGCATCTTACCAATTACTGCATAGCCCCCAGGTAGGATCTTGTAGAGGATGCCATCAAACAGGATACCATCAGGGAACAACATGGCGGTGATCTCTCCTACCAGCCTTCCAAATGCAGCTCCTAGATGGAAGATACAGGAGGGAAGGTGTAGTGAGACTCAGGTACCTCACGCTCTCTGTTTTCAGAGCAAATCTCTGAAACTGTGAACCGCCAGTACCCAGCCTTCATCGTTTTCTTTGAACCCT